CTAAGTTGTCAAAAGAGTATAAGCACAATGACTCAGTGGGGAAAATTTGGAGGGAAATTTAATATCTACTAATAGCAAAGTGTTGGGATACATTATGGAGCTTGCAAATACCGAATTACCCATTCATTAAAAATTACGTTTACCATGAGTTTGAATCACAGGTATCATTTGTTCTAGTATTAACTGAGAAGGGATTAAAATCAAAATTGTACATATAATATAGTCTCAATTTTATTTTAAAATGAGTCAAGGAACCTACAAAAAAAAAAAATCAAACTATGAGTGAGGTCAAAGACGTGCACAGATAAGATTTGTTTATTTTTGATACTCATGAGTATGTATGACTTTCCTAAACAGAAACATGAACATTATCATTCACTGTAAAGACATTTTCAAATAAGCTAAAATAAGTTCTATAAGATAATTCCATCCCCTCGATGCAACTGCTGGAGTTTCCTCGTGGCTGTTTTCAGATCGAGGAGTGTGTACACACACATCTGGCACCAGTGTAATTAGTTGGAATCTATGAGTTGCTTTCTCAGAATGAGATACCCTGGAAATGAGGCAAGTAATTAAATCCTTTTCCTGCCCCCTCCCTTTCCACCAACAAGCTCTGGCAACCAGGAAGACTGAAGAGTATCCCAGCAGCACTGAGCATCAGAAAGACGGGACACCCTCCTGGCTGCCCGCCCCGGCCTCCTCCTGGTGCTCTGTGTAACCCTGGCAAGCCACCTGACTGCTTGTTGCCTTGGTTTCCCCACTTACATGATGGGCAAGGAGGGCTGCCCAGGGGACCCTTAAATCTCCTCCAGTTCTATTTTCTATGAATGTATTAAAAAAAAATCTCAATAGAGCTCAACTTTTTTAAATGTTCATATAAAGTGTCTGTTTAAGAATAAAACAGACTTTTTAAATGCCCCTATAATAGCATTGTTTTTTGTTTATTTTGTTAATCTAGATTTTGATACATTAACCTCACAGAGCCGGGTGTATTTACATAGTAAAACTAGATTGCTCTCAACTAAGGCAAAAGATTAATTAACTTACTGATGAATTAATTAAAAACCTAAAATATAGTTTTTAATGTTTTATTATTTAGCTTACAAGTACTTAAATTGCTTGTGCATCACCATAACCACCACCAACAACAACCCTCCAAATAAGAGGGCAAATATTTCCTACTTGGTCTGTTTTAATGCACAGAAAAGTCTCGCTCTAAGCTTGGAAATTCCCAAAGAGAAATCTAAATCAATGAACTCCTACTAAAACTTTTGAGTGACCATTCCATGACCTGAAGACACAGTTCATTCACTTTTTTTTTTCTTCGAGACAGGGTTTCTCTGTGTAGCTTTGGAGTCTTTTCTGGAACTCACTCTGTAGTCCAGACTGGCCTCAAACTCACAGAGATCTGCCTGCTTCTGCCTTCCGAGTGCTGGAATTAAAGGCCACCACCACCCAGCTCATTCACTTTCTGAAGCAGTACTCTGTACACTGGATGCTGGTCGACCTTCCGAGGCACAAAAGTAACTTCTACCTCTGCAACTCTGCTGGACTTAAACTAACCTTGCTCTCTTTCCATCCTCCAGTGATGCTGGTGATGCTGATGCTGGATATAGCACGTCAAGTTCTTAGTTTTGAGGGCAGATACCAGTAGACGTACAGATCACCCTTGGAACTCACAATCCTCTGTTGATCTTTCTATGATTTATGACAACACCCTTGGAAGCTCCTCTAGGCTTCTACTGGTCCTACTCATGCACACACCCATCATTCCTTAAGCCCTGCCCAGGACAGCTTTCTCAGGAAGCACACTGAAGCTTCAATTCACAGCCCCCTACTTGATTGTCAGGGAGCCCATCCAAGGCCTGGCCATCTCCAAATTGATTACATGAGCAAATCCCTGCAGAACCCAACCAACCTCCACCACCACTTCCCTGCTCTCCTGTTGCCCACCAGCTCTCCTGTTGCCCAGGCAGCAGGTTCAGAGGCTCCTGTGGGGATGTGCTTCCTGCCAATTATGGTGCTGCTCCCCACCCTTCTGGTAGATAAGCAGCTCTGCACCAAGGGAAGGATGTGAGAGGGGAAGAGCTACCTCAAAAATGAACTTGACAATATAATGACGTAATTCCAGTACGCGCGCTGACAGAGAATGTTAATTCTGACCTGAAATGATGTCGATGGAAAATTCTACAAAGTTAGTCACACATTTATTAAGTCACTCTTACTGAAAAGAATCAAATGACAATAAATAAAGCCTTTCCTGTATGACACATAATATCGAGTATCCCATAGGATGGTGATCCATCTTCAGACAGGACTAACTTTTCTCCCAGGGGACATTTGTTGATATCTGGACATACTTTGGGTTGTCACCATTTAGAAAGGGTAGCTATACAGGCTACCAGTATCCAATGGGTAGAAGCCGTGGATATAACTAAACACTACACAAGGTATTTCTATGAGGACAGCTGTCCCCATTCCTATAACAAGGAATCAAAGTCCAAGAGCTGCGGTTAAGAATCTGTCTTGAAGAGCACTGGCTGATGGCTCAGTGGTTAAGAGCACTGGCTGTTCTTCCAGAGGACCCGGGTTCAATTCCCAGCACCCACATGGCAGCTCACAACTGTCTGTAAGTCCAGTTCCAGAGGACCTGACACCTTCACACCAAAGAACATAAAATAAATTTAAATTATTTAAAAAAAAAAAAGAATCTGTCTTGAATTAACGGGCATGCGTGGAAAGAGAAGCAGGCTCCCATAGCCAAATAACAAATCTATAAACCTTGGGGGAGAGCGTGTGAAGGCCAAGTTGTTGACCAGAGGCTCACGAAGAGCTACAGTCTGACATCAGCTACCATCACATGATAAAAAGCAATAAAGCCTGTGGGGGAAAATGGAAATTACACTTTAAAGAGAGGGAGATGGGTATGGTGGAGCATGCCTGTAATCCCGGCACCCAGGAAGCTCAGAAAGGAAAATCTGAAGTTTGAGGTCAGTGAGTCCAGGCTATACAGCGAGATCCTGTGCAAAAAGAAGATTGAAGCCTCCAGATGTATATGGATCATGGGCCAGCATGGACCCTGGACTGTGCCATCATTTCAGGAGTGCCAGGAAGGCACCTTGTCTACCCAGTTACTTCCAACACCACAGAGGCAGCTTTTCACTCCCTAACGAGGCTTAAAGAAGAAGGACCCCCGAAGACCGAACAGTGACCTACATTCACATTCAGGACAAATAGACTGGCAGCAGATTGCTTTCCCCTGAGACCAGTTTTCATAGAGTGCAAGGCCTGCCTGGAGCAACTGGGAATGATGAAGAGGACGGGAGGACCTGGGGAGGGAGGGCAAGGATGAAGAAATGGACAGCAGGAGACACAGAGGTGCCACCTACTCCACAGACTGTCTGCAGCAGCATGCAGGGAAGAACGGAGGCAGGGAGAAAAAGAAGTCACATTCCTGGCCTGGAGGAAGATTACAGTCAAGCTCAGCTCAGGTGAAACACTCCAAGAATGCTTGAAAGAATGGGGGGGGGGGGGAGTGAGGTTGGCCAGTTGCTGGGGCAGCTAGGGGATCTCACAGAACCTCGAATTGAGCGATGCCCACATTGCATCTAACAGTCCAACACCCTGTAAATCTCTCAGGAGCACTGTGGTGAATGGATGGACACCCCTCTGGATGAAGATCTAGCCCCTTCTAGGGGCTCTGAAAGATGACCCCTTTCCCCTGACACCTTTGCTGACTGCCATTTCCCTCCAATGGAATCCTATTTCATATGCTTTCTCTAGAAAGTCCGGCTCTTGGTCTCCTTTGGTTTTCCTTCCCCTAGCTCCTCAGTGAGCACAGAGCCTTCGAGCATGTTCCTTTGCAGCTTCCCATATTTTCTATGAAGCTTTTCTAACACATCTGCTTCCAGAAAAGACTCCGGGGGAGGGAGTAGGGTTAAGTTCACAACAAAAATAATGCCATGCCGCTTTAAAAGAACTTAAAATGGAAATCAAAAACAACGTTAAGAAGAAGTTTGTCGTATCAAGAAGCTGGGATTAAGCAGCTGCCAGAAACTGCTGAAAGCCAATGTCAAGAGATACACATACAGAACAAATGGAAACTTTCCATTCCTGATAAAAGAAAAGCCACAATTCTGAGGGTGTCTTTTGTTTTTTGTTTTGGTTTGTTTTGTTTTCCATGTTCCTGTCTTGAGGCCCAAACTGCATTTTACAAGTTTATCTTGGGAACTCTGTCAGGTACTTTAAGACAACGACTGTGTCTTAGATTGCATCTCCTGTTTGCAGCTCTAACACAGAAGGGTTTAGATATCCACCATTGTATTGAGGATCTATAATTTTCTGGCTAGTCCGAATCAAGATCTGGGGATCACTCTTCAAATCTCTCAACAGGTCTCTCTGACCATTTGTAAGGACGGGATCTTAAGGTCTTAAGGACACTCTCTTGGCCCTGGCACCAGTGTGAGCTACTGGCTGAAGTAAGTGCAGCTGGCCCCACTGTTCTTCAAACCTTATTGACTCCTTCCTTCTTGAGTTGGTTGAGTCCCACGTCGTTCCCCCCACTCCCCCCACCACCACTACCACCAACCCACCCCTCGTCTTTCTGCCTTCAACATAGATTCCCTTTTTAGCACCGGGGTTTTGCCACATTAAACTTTGTTTCATTCTCTGTTATAATTAGCCAAGTTTTTTTCTTTTCATTATTCTGCCTTGCTCCAGTCAGACCAAGCATTCAAGCATAAGTTGCCTGAAGTGCAGAGACAAGCTCTTTTCACACCATGCCATAAAGTTAAAACGCAGTTTTCTCAAGAACTTGAAGACCTATTATACTCTCACCTTCTTGTTTCTATTTATAACCCCCTCCACGCGTGCCCTGTTAGTACACTTGGCATCCATTTGGCCAAAAATGTCCTTTGCATATTAAGTCCTCCGTAAATAATGATTACAGTAACAGGGTCATAACACAGCTTCCTCAAACGTCGGAAATACTCAACAAGTACCTGTCAAACTGAGACCATGCATGACACATCATCCATTTTGCACGTAGTAGGTGCTCAGTAAGCATCTCTGAAATTAAGCTGATCTTAAAACAGCCGCCTTGCACACAGTAGGCCTCCAGTAAAAGGCTGCAAAATCGAACACCAGCCAGCACTCGTTCTTAGAGAACCTGGCAGAGATGACATTAATCAAAACCTCGGCACAGATCCATGAATGGAAATGCACGTCTCGAGGTAGCGCTTTCGAGAGTGCAGGAGAAGCGCGTGACAAGCGCAGCCGCGGCAGGCGTCGCGCTCTTTTGGGACGCTCTACCCACCTCCGCTCCAGGGTATTGATGAGCAATAGGAATCTAGGGGCTGGAAAGCGCCTCTTCCGAAGATTGTCACTTCGGGGCAGCACCTGGAACTCTCTCCACGACCCCTTCTTTGGGTAACCACCCTCCGGGTTTCTCCAGGGATTCCAGAGTAGCAGGGAGAACAAAAGCAAAAGCCCGCCGGGCTTCCGATTCTTTTCTGATGGAGATCAAGCCGGCCGGAGGCAGAGGGAGCCGGCAGGGACTGAGCAGTGATGTCAGCCCCCGGCCGCTGCCCGCACGCACGGCCAGCCCTCCCCAGCAGTTGCAGGCTTCTAGCAGTCCAGCCAAGGGAAGCAGCCGGTCCTCTCCCTCTCCGGGCCACCGACCCACAAAGGGGACGCTTCTTTCGGGTGCGGTCGGGCAAAAATGCTAGGCTACCCGTTGAACAGGGAAACAAGCTGGAGGAGAGGCTAACAGGGAACTGAACCAGACACCAAAACCACGATCCGAATCGGAACTCGAGAACCGCCCCTCCGCGACACAGAACGCGCGCTGTCCCCCAAGGGGTGGGGTCCCTCCGTGGCGCCCAGCCCCCCCTCCTCTTCGCAAGCACACACCCACGGGGGAGCCCAGCAGCAACCTTTTCACCCAAACTGGCGACCCACGGACAGCACCCGTGAGCGGTGCACCGAGGAAGAGGTCACCGAAAGGCGGCCCGGGTGGGTCCCACCGGAGACGGCGGCCAGCGCTGGCAAAGTCGCGAGTTGGGTGTCTGCTCGGCCTTGGGGGGGTGGGTCACGGGTCAGGTGAAGCTGGGGTGCAGAGTGAGCCGGGAAGTCCGGTCCTTGCTGTTCCCCGCTCTCGGGAGCCCGCGGAACTCCGGGAGGCGCGGGCAGCAGGAGAAGAAAGAGGACGAGCAGGGAGCCACTCACCGAGGCAGATGGAGCGCGGCGGCCCTTTGTCTGCAGCCGCGGCGCCGGCGCGCTCGGCCCGGTTGGTTGCTCCAGCCCAGGCACCGGCGAGCTCCCGGCGGCTCCCCGACAGTCCGGCTCGGGGCTCGGGCCCGGCCCCCACCCGTACTGCCTCCGCCGCGGCTCCGCCCCCAGCCCCGCCCCTTCCCTGGCCCGCGGGCCCCCACCTGCTGCAGCGGGGGAGGGGATGGGGGGAGACAGAGGGCCCCGGGGAACCGCATCGGAGACTGTCCATCCAAGACCCAAACCAAGAGGCAGCCTCACCTGAGCAGCCCGGCTCCTGCACCTCCTGCGTGCAGCCTGGTCCCGGGGCAGCCTGGCTTTCCCGCCGGGCACCTGCTCTCCAAGGCCCCTGTCCAAGGGCTCTAGAAGCCCGTCCTCACTTCTGCAGGGTTGGGGGTCACCTCAAGGCCCTGTCCGAGGGGAAGGGATGGCGGGAAGTGGAACTCTCCCTGAGCCCCAGCCGAAGCCTGGTCTTTTCTCGCGGTCAGCCCTCTCTCTACCGTAACTGCTGAGACTGAGGGCGGAGAGAAAGAGCCGGCTGGAACTGGACCGCTCCAGGCAGGGGGAGACCCGCGTGGGCCGGAGCCATCCCCTGGCGGAGGGGTCGAGGCCCACGCTGTAGGAGCTCAGGTCACGAGCGGACCTTGGATGTGCTGCGGGTTGCCTGGGCTGTGCATCCGTCCTGGTTCGTAGGGTACAAGTAAAACTCAGATGGGATCCAAGACTTCGGTAGCCAGGGAAAAACCTTGAGAAGCCTCCAGCCCCCAAACTTCGGTGGTGACTGGTGTTTGAGCTGTCTTCCAGCGAGTAGATGCGTCACTGAATGCCTACATCCCTTTAAAATGGGAAGCTGCTTTCCTAAGCAAGGGGGGGAAAATGTGATGAACTAAATATTGTATAATGAGGTCACCGGTGGCTTTAGCGGGCCGTGAGCCGTGAGCCCTCCCTCCTCCCAACCAAAGCACTCAGAGTGGGGACTTCAGTTGCACACTTCACAGTCTGCTGTATCGTGTGTTTATTTCTGCCTCATCCTGGGGGGAAGAGTGATACGATTTCAGGTGCTTAATAAGGTACTCAGTAACTGTTGAAGTTATGTTTGGGTTGCATAACCACGCTGAGGGTAACATGGGTGAAAACATAAAACTTAGAAGCTGTAGGATTTCAGTGGAAGCTGTAGCAAGTATTCAGCTCAGTGGTAGTCCTATAAGGGTACAGATGGTCGCTGTAATTACTGTGCAGATATAATTGCCATTAATCATGTAGGTAACCAATAGGTTTGGGACTACACCCAGCTAGGTTAGAGATAGTAGTTATCTGAATTTGCATTAACCTAAAAGAGAAGGTGAGGATAAAGATGGCGTGTGTCCCTTTGTAGTCAGGCATTTCCATGTGCCTTCCCTAGAGCACATTTTAGCATTCTGCTTACTTAATTTTCATTACAAATAAGTATTATCGATTCAGCAAGTATGCATAAATATGCAGCGTTCTGTGTTGATGTATTCCTTTTTATAACATCTCTTCTAGGAAGGAAGAAAAAAGAGGCCTCAAGATGTGTGTTTTATGCAAAAGAGACAGAGGGGCAAATATCCCACAAAGTAAATCCACCCGTGTCGGATGAGGGTCTGGTGAGTGGGAATAAAGAGTGGGACCCAAGACAACAGGAAGTCTCTGAGTCTCCCTTCTGTGTGGTTTAGCTCCGCGTCTGGGGTCTGGAAAACGGCTCGTTGTAGCAGTGTGCTTGCCCATGTGAGTAATTTATCTCTTCCATTTGGCAACTGGGGAAATGTAATTTTCTCCATGTGATGAGCGTGAGTGAATGGCTCATGCATAGCAAATGGCCCTCCTCCACACTGTGGGATGAGAGACTATGAAATATGCATTTGAATATCAGGGTCCCCTGCCCCACAATGGGGGTGGGGGGGCAAATGAGAACTGGAGTGCCTACCCGGGCTCCTTCCGTCCAGTTATGTGGAGTCTTTCTCCTGTGGGTGCTGCTCTTTGGAAACAAGAGAGTCCTTTATTTTCACTCCTCAGGGGAGACTCCTAAAGAAAAAGCTAGAGGAAGTAAGTGTTAATCCCTGAGAGTAACTGCCAGAACTAAGAAGTCAGGGAGTTCTCCAGGTCATTCTGTCCCATGCCCCGCTGCCTATGTCTGGACACACAGACTACCTCAGTGGCTAGGGTGGGGTGTCCACCTCCGTGGTAGCCCTGGAGGATATGGGAACAGGAAAATACCCTGCCCGCCAGATTCATCTCAGGGCATTCCCTTTGACTCCGGTTTAGGTGGTGAGGAAACCAAACCTCCAGAGTACACAACAGTTTCCTCTACTCCATGCCCTCTGCTCCAAGGAGGAGCTGGCATTACTGAGGGACAATGCCTTTGCTTGTGGCCTCTCTCCCAGGGATGAGAACTGGTCAGGTTTGAGAAACCTACTGAACCTTGATGTCCAGTGGTGGAGCCCTCAGCAAAGGCGTAAGAAAGCAAGCCTCTGTCCTTTTGCGAAGAAGTTCGGTAATCTCTCTCTTCTTCCTCCCCCTCTCCCCCTCCCCCTCCCTTTCCTCCTTCCCCTCTTCCTGTTTCTGTCCTTCTCCCTCTCTTCTACCCTCTCTCAGTCTCTCCTCGCCTGTTTTTCTCCCTGCTGTATCTGAAACAAGTGCCACTTGTCACACACACACACACACACACACACACACACACACACACACACACACACACAATGTTCAAGCCTATTCATAGGAAAATGAGGCAGACCCAGGGATCATTATAGCCTCAGTCAGGCCTACCAATCAGAGGCCACGCCCTCTTCTTGTCACTTCAAACTGTTCTAGAAATAACCTTTGTTGGATGGTAGAGATGAAACCCAAGCTGCAGGTGCAGGCCTGGCGGCAGGAAGCAGCGGGCTCCCTAGGTTGCATGGTTCTAACTGTGCAAGGCTGCTGATGGGCAGCCTTCCCCTTCATCAGATCTACCTAGGAGATGTTCTCCTGTACTGGGAAGACTGACTACAGTGGCCCGCTTTCCAATGTCTTTCTGTTGTCCTCTGCCTTCCCTCCTGTGACTATAAACAAACTGTCCTTGCTCTGGGCTGGGCTCGTGAATCAGGGGTAGAGGGCAAGCTTAGGGTGGAGGCATCCCTGGGTTCAACCTTTAGCACCAATAAACAAATACATCTTTCCCTGCTGTATCTCAGTCAAATGCCACTTGTGGACACAGCCTCATTTCCTCATTCATTCAAGAGCATCTTTCTACAAAACTTCTCCCCTCTCCCTCGAACAGTTTTAAAAATGGTTTAAGGGCTGGCAAGGTGGCTCAGCAGGGGGAGACTACTGCCAAGCCTAGGAACCTGCATTTGATCCCCGGAGCCTGCTCAGTAGGAGGAGAAAACCGACTCCAGGAAGTTGTCCTGTGACCTACATGCTTGCTCCTCTCCCCCAGTAAAGAAATGTAATAAAGAATTTCAATGTTTTAATGTCGATGGCCATCCAAAAGGAAATCTAGAGCTAGGCATGGTATCTCAGGCCTGCAGTCCCAGAACCAGAGAGGTAGAGGCAGGAAGACCAAGACTTCAAGGCCATTGGTTATCAAAGGAGTTTGAGGCCAAGTGAGGCTACGTGAGACCCTGTCTAAAAGGAAAAACAAATATCAAATCCAAAGCAGAACAAAGAATACCCTTTGACGTTTCTCTAGCTATTTTGCCCCTCTCTTCAATCCTTCACGATGACGTCTTCTCCTCCACTCTCTTTTTAACCCACTCCTGTTATCTGAGTGAAGGATGGCCAGTGGCCGCTGTATTTTTAAAGCTAATGATCTGTTCTCCAGCTTTAAGTATAGTCCATCATTCCTTTAAAATATTTTCTTTTTTCTCTCAGGACCCCTCTGATTTGATCCAATCTTACTGGCTTTTCAGGGAACAGTACATGCCAGCTGGTTAACCCAGCAGAGAGCGTACAAAATAAAAAATGCTAAAGGCATTTCCAGCAAACTCAGATAGGACAAAGATGCTATCATTGTTATTAATATTGTTTTAGAGATTAAATTAAGCAACAAGGTATGAAAAGTAAGTAATAGATATGAATACTAAAAAGAAGCAAATACAGGTCTTGTGTATACTGTTAAGTGTCTCTTGTATAATATTAGAGGGACCAGTCTTAATAGTATACATCCCAGGGGCTCAGGAGAGAGAACTACTAACGGCGAGGACTATTTTCGGGAAATAGAATCTCAGCACACTGAGCTCTATAGTCTACTTGCTTTAATTCCTCTGATATAACATCCTATATACACAGCTTCAGTTCTGTTCTTGTGCCTAGCTCCTTTCTTGCCTGATTTCTCTCTCTATTTATCTACTGTTCCCTCTAAGTTCTATCTTAATTCTCTCGTCTTAATTCTGCCTCATCTAGGTCCTTTTCATCTTGTTCTTACCCAGCTAGGACTTCCCCATCTGACTCTTCCTCATCTTCCATCTTGTCCACAGGTACTCTCCTTCTCTCTCTCCGTCTCTCCTTTCTTTATGTTCCTCCTAAGTCTCCCAGGAATCCAGTTGTAAACCCAAGCAATGGCAAGCCCCTGGTTGAGCAAGGTCACCAGGCTTGAAATCTACAGGGTCATAAAGGCAGGTAAGAATTTTCCTCAGGCCGTGACCACCAGGCTTCCAGGGTCAAATGGAGGGGTGATAAGAATCACATAGAGGGACAGTAATTGTTAATTATCATTTGCAACTCAAAAGGGAAGTGACTAATGGGGAAATGAATTAACTAAAGGCCAAATTTGGGTAATATCTAAGAAGAGGGATCTTATATGCTCCACTATAGTCTTAAATGTGATTGGTAGAAAATGTTAAGAACCTGTAAGTTGCAGCCGGGTGGTGGTGGTGCCCACCACCCTTTAATCCCAGCACTCGGGAGGCAGAGCCAGGTGGATCTCTGTGAGTTTGAGGCTAGCCTGGTCTACAGAGCGAGATCCAGGACAGGCACCAAAGCTACACAGAGAGACCCTGTCTCGAAAAACAAACAAACAAAAAGAATCTGTAAGTTGCTAGGTCAATGGGAGAAAATAAAACTGCCCCCTTTTTTCCTGTGGCTCCTATCTGTCCAAGCTATCTGCCGTTTTTCTGCAGGGTGGGGGAAAGTGTGCTCAGTCGCTAGGCAACCTGTGCACAGCTAGATGCCTCAGGTGATAGTTAAAGGGAGATCTGGAACTAGAGGTAAGATTTGGGAAAGGAGGAAGTAAAGCTTAATTGGCACATCCACCAGGCTTTCTCAAACAGGTAGTCTGGACACTTAAGTCTGTTCTTAGAGAGTACAGAGGTATCTCTGATAAGGTACTTTCCTCCTTCTGGGGATGGACCTGGCCGGATGCTGCCAATGATGATAATTACAAGGAGGCTTGAACTGAGGTTCTGGCTGTGCATAGCTGTCAGCGCACAAGGTTATGTAAATATTCCTTTAGTAGAGGGGAAATGGTGCCCAATAAATGATGGAAAAGCTACAATAGCACACAAGAAACTCATAGAGGAAATGGCTGGTAATCAAAAGCCAAATATCACCAAGGCTCCTTGAACCTTAGCTTGGCCTCTGGAAGGCCCTTGGCTACTTCCAGGTATTAGCTTTGTCATCATCAGCTGAAATCCTACTTGTATATTTTTGCGGCTTGCAACAAGTGTCCAGCTAAAACTTAGGACGCTGTTTTTGTTTTTAAATGCTACTAGAGAAACTGCTGGATGGTTCGGTAGGTAAAGGCACCTGATGCCAAGCATGTGACTTGAGCTCAACCACTAGGATCCCCTTAAATGGAAGGAGAAAATGAGCAGCTTTAAGTTGCCCTGTGACCTTCACATGCATACACTAGTGTGCACACACATGCATACATTATAGAATATTTGTTAAAGCTGTAAAGATGTGTCTCTGTCTAAGGTGCCTTCTGGTTGATTTAATAAAGAGCTGAATGGCCAACAGCAAGGCAGGAGAGAATAGGCGGGACTTCCGGGCACATAGAGAGAGAAACTAGGAGGAGGAATCTAGGCACAGGATTTTGCCAGCAGACCCGGAGCAAGTCAGACGTGCTATACTAAGAAGAGGTAACCGAGCCATGTGGCAGAACGTAGATTAAAAAAAAAATTACGGGTTCATTAAGTTATAAGAGCTCGTTTGAAAAAAGCCTAAACTAAGGCCAAATTTCATAATTAATAAGTCATCTCTGGGTCATTGTTGCGGGCTGGCTGTCCAAAGATAGCCTGACAAGAAAGCTTGCCACACACACACACAATATATATATGCATATAGTATAACATTATAAATTATAATTGCTACTAGGACCACCAGCCATGGTAGTACATGCCTGTAATCTCAGCACTTGGAAGGCTGAGGCAGGAGGATTGGGAGTTTGAGGCTGGCCTGGGCTACATAGTGAGACTATCCTAAAACAATGTAAGGACTTCTGGGTAAGATGACAACTAGAAGCTGCCTCTGCGTGAGCCAACAAAAGAGACAGTTCAGAATAAGAAACTTCATCTCCACAAGAGAAATCAAGGAAGAAGAGCCTCAGAAATGCACACAGTGAAGTGGTCAAAGATACAACACACAGAGCCGCAAGCTGAACATGGCCCCTCATGGAGGGGGAGGCTGAAGATGCTTCTAAAAGGTAAGCCAGACGGAAATGGCCAGCCTCGCCCTCAGCACAAACCCACAGCCCTTAGGAGCCTCCAGTCCGGCTGTAGGCTTTGGTGAGACAGTAGTTCCTCTGGCGGGCAGGTCAGTGATGGAGAGAAATCCCATTTTGTCATACTGTGTGATTAGGGCAGCCAAAGTCAGGCGCCACCTGGACAGAGACCCGTTGGTTAAAAGCTGAGCTACCCTGGGCCTGAGGTCGGGAGCATCCACAGACCAGGGAGCCTCGGGTTAGTCCGTTATAATCCTTCATGAGGGAAGACCCACACGGGCAATTGTGATGAAGCCAGGCCTCGTGGGACAAAGAGCGCAAGAGGCAGGAGGCTGGCTGAGGTTGACAAGTGCCTAAGGAGAAATGGCCCTGCCCTTGGTGAGGGAAATGGATCTTCTCTACTGAAAACTAACCTGGAAGTCTGAGAATTGTCAGACTGAGGTCATCTCCTCCAGCTCCCCAGGGTTTTACTCTGCGTTTAACAGGATTTCTACATTTTTTCCCCTTATTTTAAGTTGTTTATATTTTTAGTTGTTATTCTCCTTTATCTCATTTGTTTATACTTTTTTTCCATTTGTGGTCAATATTTTTTGTTTTCCTTTCTTGGCATATTTCCTTGTTATTAGCTTCTATACATTTAGTGGTATCTATTTACTTTACCTTAATTTTTAAAATAATCTTATATTTATGTTTCTTATTGCTCTGATTTTGGTTTTGAACTTTTTAATTATTGGGAAATCCTTGTTGTTGCCTCCCCCCCCCCCATCTTTTCTCTGGCCTCCTCTTCTTTTCTTAACATTCCTTTCTACTCTTTTTTGTTTCCTTCCTTCATCTCACTTATTTGCTGTTTTCACACTCACCCTAATTAACTGTGAGCCTCAGAGTACATTTTCACACGAGTTTTCCCATTTTCAGTTGTCTGGTCCCTGGAATATATTACTGAGCTGTCACTGACTCTTGTTTTCTGAACAATTCTATATATTGTATGGTTTTGTGTTGACGGTGGTCTAGTAGTTTGTTTTCCCTTTGCTGAGAGGTAGTAGGAGTTCAGCTTTCAAGAGCAGGCTGTCAATAAGAAGCCCACCGCCACCACAAACAAGCCAGAAAAGGCATCCAGAGCAACAGATGTGCAAATCTCAATACAAAGTACAAGAAGCGTGAAAAAGCAAGGTGACTCCAAGCAAGCACAGCTCACAGATACAAAAATGACTGAAAGACAAGAGAAGATAGTCCTGGTGATGAGGAAGAGTGTGGATGGGCAAAAGGACATATGAAGAGGCAAGGAATCTGAGGAATGAGGTCAAGGGGGAACAAGAGAGATGCTGGATATCATAATGGTACCTATGGTGGTTTGGATGCGAATGGCCCCCATAGGCTCATATGTCTGAATGCTTGGCCCCCAGGTTGTGGAACTGTTTGGGAAGGACTAGGAGGTGCAGACTTGTTAGAGCAGGTATGTCACAGGAGGTGGGCTTTGAGGTTTCAAAAGACTCCCGTCATTCCCAAAGTTCTCTCTCTGCCTCTGACTTTCAGATCAAGCTGTAAGCTCTCAGCTGTTCCTGCTGACGCCTTTGCTCTGCCGTCATGGACTGGAGCCCTCTGAAACCGCGAGCCCAATTAAATTCTTTCTCCCAAATTGCCTTTAGTCATGGTGTTTTGTCACAGCATTAGAAAAGTAACTAAGACAGTATCTAGGCCGGGCAGTGGTGGCACACACCTTTAATCCCAGCACTCAGGAAGCAGAGGCAGGCAGATCTCTGAGTTGAGGCCAGCCTGGTCAGCATAACAAGTTCCAGGACAGCCAAGGCTACACAGAGAAACCTTGTCTGGGGTACGGAGGGGTAGAGAAAAAAAAAGACAGTATCTAATACATTATATGTCAATTTTTAAAAATTAAAAAAATATATCTTTATAAAAAATTTTTAAAGTTTTTGGTAGAAATGATCAGTGTCCTGAAAGAGGATTCAAATCAGTTAATGAGTATAGTCCAGAACTGGAGAGGAAAGTCAGGAACATAGAAGGAAAAGTCAGAAAAAATGAATGAGAAAAATCAATAATGTGAATGGAAAAGTCAACAATGCAAAAGAAAAATTCTGCAAAGGAATTGAGATTTTAAAAAATAAAGAGATGTTGGAAATGAAAACCTCAATGAATTGAACAAAGCCACAGTGGGCAGCATCACTAACAGACATGAGCAAGCAGAAGAAGGAATATCAGAGATAGGAGAAGAGGTTGATGAATGCTGCATTCCGGGCATCAACGGTAGGGGAGGGGGAGGTAAACGAGCATGATTACAAAATCCAGGAACTCTGGGATGCAGGCAAGAGAGCAAACCTAAGAATCCATAGGATACAAGAAGAAGCTGAGATAAACATTAAAAACCCAAACCTAGAGACAGATGTTCAAAAGAAATATTTAGAACCCCAAACCACCAAAGTAGACATGACCAGAGAAGAACCTCTCTGTTATATAAGACGCAAAGATGTTTAAAAAAAATGCAAAGCAATAAAACAATGTTAAAAGCTTTAAGAGAAGAGCCAGGTATGATAGCATAGGCTTTTAAATCCTAGCACTTGGGAGGAAGAGACTGGCAGGTCTCTGTGAAGTCAAGGCCAGCCTGGTCTACAGAATGAGTTCCAAGCCAGTCAGAAATACAGAGTGAGACCCTGTCCCCAAAAACAAACAGTTTTAAGAGAAATTATGGAATCATCTACAAAGGCAAAACATCAGAGTAATATCAGAACTGTAATTAGCCACTTCAGAAATTATTGAATGGCATACTTCAGGCCTTGACAGTAACTGCCAACCAAGATTGCTCCATCCTGCAAAGCTATCTTTTAAAGTTGTTGGAGAGATAAAGACATTTCAAACCAAGAACAAACTAAGGCAGGTCATGACTACTGAGCCAGTAGATATTCAAAGGAATACTCTGTACACAGAGAAGACAGACAGAAAGTCTCCACTGCTAGGGGTATAAGAAAGAATAACAAAGGAGGGTAGGAAGGAATCTAATACCCTAGCATAATAAGTCTGAAATCCCCAAACAGTGGTAGGGAGAGAGTGAAGAACAGACAACCAACCCAATCAATCAAATGAGCAACCAACAAAATTATAGAAATTAGTAAACATCTTTCATTAACACCCCTAAATGCAAATGGCTTCGACTTGCCAATAAAATAAAACAAACAGGCTTGGCTAACTGAATTTTAAAAAATAAATAGAACAACACACCTACATCCAACTCTCTATTGTCTCCAAGAAACAAGAAACATACCTCACTAGTAAAGACATCTGCAGACGGAGCATCAATAATGAAAAACAACCTGTCAAGTGAATGGAAACCAAAACTAAGCTGGTGTTGCTGTTCTGTTGCTGTTCCAATGGAGTTGATTTAAGAGGAAATTTTATAGCTGTGAGTACTTACAAAGAAAGATCCCATGGTGCACTTCAAGGTCTGAGAAAAACAAGAACAATCCAAACTCAAAAGAAGCAGATGGCAAGAAATAATAAATATCAAGGAAGAAATTAATTTAAAATGTATTGAGGCTGATAGAACAATACATAAAATCAAACAAATAAACAGTTGGTTTTTTAAAAAACTCAATAAGATTGCTAAGTCTCTAGTCAAACTAACTAAATAGAAAAAGGAAAGATCCAAATTCATAAAATAACATGAAAAAGAAGTTACTATAGATTTTAATTAAATCCAGAGACTAATTATGGAATATGGTAATGTATACCCCCAAAATCCTGGAAAAACTAGAAGAAATAGATAAATTCCTAGACAAATATGACCTAATGAAACTAAATCAAGACAGTATTAACAACTTCAGCATATCCAAAGCAATCAATGAGATTGAAGTAGCAATTTAAAAAAAAAAATTCAGGGCCAGAAGGATTCTCTGACAACTTCTATAAAATCTGTAACTAAAAGCTAATACCAGTGCTCCTGAAACCATTCCATAAAATAGAAAAGGAAGGCACACATCCTACCAGGTCAGCAGTACTCCAATACTAAAGCCAGATAAGGACACAAAAAGGAAAGGAAGCTGTAGGCCAACCTCCTTGGTGGCATAATCCCAGTGTTTGGGAGGCAGAGACAGGTGGATCTCTGTGAGTTGGAGGCCAGCCTGGTCTACAGAGCAAGTTCCAGGATAGCCAGGGCTACACAGAAAAACCCTGTCTCAGAACAACCTCTCCACCCCCACAAATTCTCAGTATACATTTTGCAAGCCTAATTCAAGAAAACATTAAGAAGATTGTGTACAGTGACCAAGGAGGTTTCCTTCTAATAAGGCAAAGTTGGTTCAAGATAAGCAAACCAGTAAGTGTAATTTAGCACATAAATAGACTTCAGGCCAGACATCATATGATCATCTCACTTGATACAGAAAATGCCTTCAATAAACATTAACATCCATCATGATAAAAAGCCCTGAGGAAGCTAAGAGTAGAGGCAATATATTTCAGCATAATAAAGGCTATATACAAGAAACCCATAGCCAACAAATGGGGAAACTGAGAACGTTTCTCTAAAATTTGCAATGAGACAAAAGTATACCCTTTCTACGTTCTTGTTCATTATAGTGTTCAAAGTGTTAGCTAGACCAGTAAGACAAGAGAAAGAAATAAAACAGATGCAAGTAAGAAAGGTAGAAATCAAATCATGTGTTTAGTATCCCATGTTTATTTCAAACTGTTGGCAGAAATAAGAGTGGTGTAAAAGCCCCTGTACTGTACTCAAACTGTGCAGTTAATTCTGAACCCAAAAGCCCACTTCTGCCCTAAAATATGAACAACCACAGACATTAAACCTGGACAAAACATGATGCTAAGAAAGTGACCTCAACACTGTTAACTAAGATGAGACCAAAAAGTAATGTACAGAGAGTATGTTGCAACTCAGTTGTACTCAAGTTCCTCACAGTTTTCCGATTTTTTTGCTGAGAACAATGTCTGGTTAGAATTTTTAAACAAGTTGGGATATAAAGAATTGAAAACGTCCCAGATCTTCCTGAGACAAACAGGAGAAAGGCAATAAAAAGTTCTGGTTAGTTCCCAGTTTGTGCTGCCTACCTGACAGAGTTCCTTTGCTGTCCCTGTCTGCAGCCCTGGATCGGGAATGTGGGTGTGTTTGCATCAGGGAAAGCCAAAGGCTCCCTACAGGTTTAGGAACCACTAGAGAATACCAATGAGTTTCAGACAACTGAACTTAACTTCATGTTTTATTTTTTTTTAATATTTAGTGCCATCTATGAAATTCTGTTTTTAAAAGGCAGAAAGGTATTTTTTGGTTGACTCTGAAGTGTTGGCATCCAATCAGAAACACGGGGCGCTGTTGCTAGCTCCAGGCCGGAAAGCCCCTTTCCGAGCTTCTTGGCTGTGTACAGACAGAGTGGATCTCTTTGGCTGTGTGCTGAGTGCGCCTCATCTCAAATCCTTAAACATTCAGTCGAATCAACAACAGAGAGCTATTGGAATAACCACGTAATGTTAATAGTCATTGCTAATAAATGCAACAGTTTTCAAAATTTAAAAAAAGAATGACATAAATAGGTGAATGCAAGTGCTATTAGGATTCCTACGAGACTCTGGCTAGAAATACCAGAAAGAATAACCTCAAAAGTGGATTTGAAAAGAATCAAATCTGTTGAAAAACTGATTCCAGAAGAGAGAAAGTCTTACAGTCTCATCAATGAAAATGATTAGAGAGGTATAGATAAACATTCTGAAAATTATCAAAGAAAATTGAGCACAATTAAGTACTAAGACTTTAGAGCCATTGTATCCATTCATTCATTCATCCATCCATTCACTCATCCATTTTGAGGCAGGGTCTCACTCTATTACCCAGGCTGACTTGGATTCCTCATCCCTCAGGCTCCTGAACAGCGGGGACTACATGTGCACGTTGTCAACGGTGGCCCTGGTTTTGTTGTTGTTGTTTTTCTAGCTTTTTTTTAAATTATCTCTTATTTTTGAGATTACAACATGTCCTCCTTCCCTTTCCTCCTCCCAAACCGTCCCATTTACTTCTTGCTGTCTTTCAAATCCATGGGCTCTTTTCACTTATCGTTTTTTTGGAGTTCTTAGGACTATGGGAGTCCTCTCAAATTCATCTTTACACAGATGTTTGGCACTGTTTCCTCTGCGTTAGTTTACTTTTCTAGTTGTCATAGAAATACCAACGTTGAAGTATTTATTTTGGTCACGGTGTGGTACCGTATAGGCCATCATGGCAGAAAGCATGACATCTGAAGTGACTGGGTCCATAGCAGTGAAAGCGTGAGGCAGCTTGTGCATATCTTAACAGATGAGGGAGTGGGAGCCTCTGTCACCTCTGGGGTAGTCATACCCTCTAGCCTTCCCCCTTTTGCCTTACATCTGACAGTTATGTCCAAACACAACAATGCTACCAGCTAGGGACTGAATATTCAAACACATGAGCCTGTGGGGGACATTTGGTTATTCAAATCATGACACGATACAAGGTCTACAGGGAGTATATCTGTGCAGCCAAGTAGCATCTTCCAGGACTGCTTGTCACCAGCATCATTCAGGGATACCAATATCATGTCCCTTCCAACTGTTGTGGACCCTGATAGCTGATAGGTTTCAGTTTAAGTTCCCCCATGTCTTGGAGGCAGGTTCACTCAGGTAACAAATACCTAGATCCGACTTTGGTGCTCACATGGTTCCCAGAGAAAGGGCAAAACTTTCAACCTGCCAGCTGGCCAAAAGTTTCTTAGCTAACTTGGGCCATCCAAATGCTTTGTCTTTCAATAAGACCTCACCAAAACTCTTAAGTGCATGGCCCTAGTTAGTCCAGACCTCACCTAGCCCTGTTTTTCAAACCATAAATCATAACTCACAAAATCAGAGAGAAAAATTGCATTTCTGAAATGAGATAACAGAGCATATCACAGTTCATTGTAATAAGATCGTCATTGAATGACATTGTACTACCCAGTATATGGGAGGCTGGGGTAGGGTGCTTATGTGCATGCACATGGGGGCAGCATTACATGATTTTCTTAATTATGGTCATGATCCAAAAGTGTTAAGGAATTCACTGCCTTCTACTTCCTTATTTTAGCGCTGCAGAAACTCAAACTTCCTGAGATCTGACTTTTCTCTTTTGCCTCATTTCTTGTCTCCAGGTCAGTCTCATTTGTCTCTTGATTTGTTAAACTATCCTGTTCCTCTCATACAAACAATTCCATGTTATTAGAATGTATTTGAGTCTCTCCCCTAATAAAGGGGCTTAGCTTGAGTTTTTCTCCACCGGCTTATTCTTACAAAACATCCATTGGTTTGCTGAATAGCCCGTGTCTATAAGGACATACAGTTCATTAATTTCATTCTTAAACTCCAAAAGCCCTCATTCAGCATGCATTATTGTTCTAGATGCCTGACTTACCGTTGGCCATTGTATCTAGAGGTCTAGGAATGATCTAATATCGTCCCTATCAATCAGTTGAGTGCTTAGAATGATGTTTTGTATTTGTACCTTGATGGTTACAGCCCACTAGACAAGGACTGTCAGTTGTGTCCTGATTGTTTTGTGATGGGGTCTCCCTATGTAGTCTAGGCTAAGCTTGAATTTGTGACACTCTTCCCTCAACGCTCCCCACCCGCAGTGCTGGGATTAGGTCCTTCATGGTCATGCCGGACTCTTGCCTAACTTTTAAAAATCGGTCTCTGTGTCATCTTCCTGCTCTGCTTCCTCTCTCCACCTGGAAGCCAGCAGCATCATCGTCCCAGACTTTCTAAACATGGGTGTGGGTTTGTTAGTATGGAAGGCAGTTTCTTTCTATCTCTATAAATGTTCAATAAATGTGCGATTGGATCACCATCTCCAACTCTCCATTCTCACAGTCAGATGAGAAATATGTGGCCTTGGCCGCCCAGGAGTTATTGTTGGTTTTGTTTTTGTTGTTGTTTACATGAACTAAAAAAAGCCTCAAGAGACATTTAAGAATTTTTTTTCCTAAGCGAGCTGAAATAAGTAAGTTTTACTTGAGAAATGAAAAGGAAATTGTTTTTGGCTTAGGAGAGATAGACATTTTAAAATGACTGCAAAGTCAGGAATAAACTGTAGTTTCTATGACCCCAACACACAGCCAAGCCAGCCTCCATCTAGGCATGAGGAATTTACAAATGATGGCATTTCTTATGATTAATCCAGCTTGAACAAGTAATTTTCATGGGAAAACAATTGTAGCTGAGTAAATGCAATACAAATGTGTTTCTAATATTAAATAAATACACACAGACACATACAGGCCTCCAGTGAAAACATAATCAATTCCAGTTAGTTCGTGTGGGTAAATCAGTCAACTATCAAAGATCAGAACACACGTTTCACTCGACTCAAAAACAGAACCACCGAAAATCTTTTAGGAAGTACTGTGTCTTGGGGGAAAGTATTCCCACAAACTGGAGTCTACATGATAACTCTCTCCAGGCAGGAAGTATATTTGCCATCCTTGTAGGAAAGCAAGGGCTGGGAAACAGGAGTGTGCATGTACATGCTGGCCCCACCATGGCTTGTTTTCACACAGTGCTCTGGTGTGTCCGTTTCTTGCTTGCTATACTTATGCTCGAACTCACCAAGGAAGTGTACAGCTACTCAAGTGTCATTTCCATGGAGAAGCCCGAATCAGGAAACCATTGCAAAAAAACCAACAGTTTTTAGGAGTTTCTGGAATCTAAGCAAGGTAACTAATGCCTGTCTCTCTGTAAGCAATGACAAGTAGGACTAATCTATGAACTGTTAATCCCTTTCCTCAGTTTGGTTTGGTGTTCTAGGAGGAAATCTGTTTGTGATTATTAGAGCCATGGCTGGTTTTACTGTCGATTAGAGAAGAACTGTGAGGCAATTTGCAGTATGGAAAAACACATGCAGCTAAAAAGCACTCCTAAGGCTTTGCTACATAGGTGTTGGTTTAGCATTATCCTCCTGCATCCTATTAAAAGAAAAGAGCTCGTGGTGAGTCCTGGTGAAACCGAAGCCGGCCTCCATCTGTTCTTGTCAGGTGTGGCTGATGGCTAACAGCCTTCCTTCCAGAGAGCTGCCTTCCCCAGCTCCAGGAGAACCTGGCTGACAAAACCATCACAGTCTCCATCTTCGTCTTTGCTGTCATCCGATGAGAATGTGCACTTGGTCTGTGATGAAGCTGATGCGAAGGTCACTTAGGAAATTCAGCGGACAAGGGCCAAGGCTTTCCTGGCGGTTTCTTGAGTCATGATGTGGAAGACAGGATCATCTGTACGCAGTGACAGCTGAGTGTGAGAAGAGGACTAGGTACAGTCGAGGACAGCACGCTGCCACTGGCTGCCTGTACAGCACAGGGCAAGGAAGTGCATGGTGTTAGCTTTCCTCTTTGTTCAACATCGTGCTCACTTACGTTCGTTGTCAGGCACATCTCGTGCCTCCCCCCCCCCCCCCCCCCGGTTCCTGTGACCTTGCCTGGTTCTAGCTGGCCACCTTGGGTGTTCCAATAGCACCTCATCATCTTAAACCACCTGCTCCAGACCCACCTGCTGCCTCTGGAGTGTGACATGCTGTGAGATCCAATGACACTCCTGTGTATGAGGGAACAGGTATACAGGCAGTGAGGGCACATTGAAGTGGAGTGTTGGGCTCTGGGAACCCTCAGACACATTCTTATCATAGTCTCCCAAGAGCAGTCTATTCCGAGATGCAACAGCACCAGTGACCACTCAGAAAAGGTCTAGTAGGAAGAGAGATTGATGTAGCAATGAAGACTGATGCCAAGTGGAGGTGGGATCCTTAGTGTGCTTGCCTCCTTACTCTCCCTCCTTCCAGGTCCTGGTCCCTTTCTGCTGGCTCCTGCTTCCTGAGAAAGTAGAAACAGGCAGAACTGACCTCCCTAAGAAAGTAGGAACAGGCACAACTTTCCCTGGGTTGCCTTGGGGCACCCAAAGCTAAGATAAGATCCACTCTATTCCTCAGTGTCCTCAGGAGTCTCAGAGATGCTCAGTGCTGACCATGAAGCAGACATCAAGGGCTCTGTTTTATATAGCATCTTCCTGGGTAAGGTTCACGTAGGACAACAGTGCCTGGACCATGGCTGGAGATGCAGGATTTGAACTGTCATCACAGTGTGGTAAGATGTGAATCTGTCTGTGACTTGGTGTTTGCAGAGAGCAAGTCACATGGGAAGAGGGCAGAGAAAGGAATCTATCATCACAAGTTGCAGCCAGTGCAGAACCATTCTCGCCCTCACCCCTTCCTTTCCCCGCTGACACTGACTCCTTCATGTAGAATGTGGAGGTCTCTTGATCCGAGGAGGGTCACATGTCCCAGGCCCCTGGAGGATGAACTGAAAGTCAGATGTGTGACCCACCTCTAGCTAACGAAACAGTAAGAATTCTGCTACAGAACTCCTTTCCTATGGAAAAAGCACACCAAGAGGGGCAAGTTGCTGCATCCTTTCTTGGATATAGACGGGATGCCTGGGTTCCACCAGCTACATTGTGACCTTGGGACAGACATGAATAAGGACAAGCGAGTCTCAGAGATGCTGGCCCTGGCTTCGGTGAGCCACTAAGCCAGTTTCCGCAGCTGTGTGCCATCTTCCCGTTGGTAGGAAAAAGCCATCCTGATTCACTTATCTCTGCTAACAGAGCTACAGAACAGTCTGCATCATTCCCATGTCTAAAAAGATGCGGTAAAGGTCTGGGAAGTGGGACATGAAAAATGAGCATGCGAAAGTCCAAGAAGCAGAGTTTTGAGAAAGAGAGCAAATGTTACCATGGAGTGAAGTACCGGCCGGCAAGGGGGCTCAGCAGATGTCAGCCAGATGACCCGCGCTGGTCCCTAGAACTCACAATGGAAAGAAAGAACCACAGACTCCCTCTGACCTCCACACATGCACTGTGGCATGCACAAACCCCAAACACACACACACACACTCACATACACACATGCACATATACACACACTCAAATGCACACACACACACATACACATTCACATACACACACTCACATATACTCACACACGTACACGCTCACATACACACTCAAATACATGCTCACAAACTCATGTACACACACTCACATATACACACTTACACATACACACTCACATGCACACCCACTCACTGTCACACACACACACATCAAACACACAGACACAAAAATAAATTTTTAAAAATTTTAAGATGAGACTGGAGAAGTTTCATGACAATTTTCAAGTAAGAGGTTAAATATGAGAGCCATTTTATTTTCCTTTTTTACTGGTATCCATTAGTGGTACAGAACAATGGGTTTGATGGTGACATCGTCATGTATACCATCTACTTGCTCACACATATCCTATTACCCTTCTTACCCCACCCCTCCCCTTCCTCTTCCCTAGCAGTTCCCTCCTATGTTCTCACCCTTTCTCCCCCAAATCCCACACACGAGGAAAGTGTGTCGTGCTTGTCCTTCTGAGTCTCATTCATTTCAGTTTTAACTGTTTCCCTACATAACAACCATTTTAGAGGGGCCAAGGGGGCAAAAGACAGACTAATGGACAGAGGAGCACAGGCTCTTCCAACATCAACTGTTCTTTCAAGAAGTCTGGAACAGACGTGGGTCCTGCAGTCCAGTGTGTTAGCATGTTTCTCATGCAGGCCAGTGTGCTAGCAATGTTGCTCAGACTCTGCACCCAGGTGTTACACATCCTGGGATCATGCTTAGAGATACTGACAAAGATTTAGGTACACATATGATAATTGCTATTCCATATATAATTCAACAATGGTGGTAGCAATAGAAAAAATGAAGCAAAGACAAACGGTTGTATAAATGATGGAAAATCATGATGGAATCTTGCTCCTGCCAAGATACATGATACTTGAATTTTCTTAATGGCATGGAGTAATGTTTATAATGGATCAGATCAAAAATAAACAGGCTATAAAATACGATTATAAATTTGTGACATATAATATGTACTATTTATATTTGAAGGGAAAGTTAAGAAAGACATGCACCAAATATGTAAGGGAGCCTCGTAAATCTTGCATTTTCCTTTGTTTCAAAATTAGCCTTTATCGTTTTTGTGATAATTTTTAAAATGACATTTGTTATGAAGAGAAAGAAATAGAACAATGGCTACAGAAGCCAGGCATGCTGCAGCACATCTGTGTCCCAGCCCTTGGGAGTGGAGACAAGAGGACCGTTGTGAGTTGGAGGCCAGGCTGGGCTACACGGTGAGTTCCCGGCCAGCTAGAGAGTGAAACTGCCTTAAAACAACAGTAGCTTTGGAGTGGGCACAGGAGGTGCATAAACCTGAAAAAATGCCAAGTATTTTTAACTTCTAAAAACGCCATCTACACAACAACAAGCAACCAAGAGTCTTGGAAGCAAATCTGACGTCTAGTCACAACTATATTATTTTCTTTTGTTTGTGTATTTGGGAAAGTCTCTTTCCTGGGCCATGTTTTCCTCCTGTGCAAAGATAAAAAAAAAAAGAGAAATGTGGAATAATTTAGCCAGTGGCTGGTATGACAGCCTCTGGCAGACTGGAGCCCCTTCACACAATTGACAGGAGGAGATGACAGCAAGTACTCCTCCTGAGAATATATAGTATGCATAATGACGGGCAACTAACTCCCACCTGCTCAGAGCACACATGTCGCATCAGGATAGAAGGACAGTTAGGAACAGAAGTGTCCAGGGGATGGCTCATGTCTCATCTATGGCAGCCTTGAGTGAGAAAGAGGCTGGTCTCAGCAGACTGACAGGACACAGCACTGCAAACAGAGTTGATGTTCCACCAACACACTCATAGCCCATGCCCTGGACTGCCAACCCTCCTCCTCCACACCT